CAGCAATTGGGAGACAGAGGCAGGCAGATCTCTGAGTTTGAAGTGAGTGAGTTCTAGGACAGCCAGGGCTACACAGAGAAACCCTTTCTCAGAAAAAAAAAGGAAAGAAAAAAAGAAAAAAAATTAACCAGAATCAAAATCTATCTAATTCAGTGAATTTCTGTGCAGTGAGACTGGCATTAAGAATGGTGCTGATGGGCGGTGGTGGCGCACGCCTTTAATCCCAGCACTCGGGAGGCAGAGGCAGCAGCAGGATCTCCGTGATTTTGAGGCCAGCCTGGTCTACAAGAGCTAGTTCCAGGACAGGCCCCAAAACTACAGAGCAACTCTGTCTCGGAAAAAGTAAAAAATGAAAAAGCAGAAAAATTAAAAATAGAACGGCACCGATGAGCTTCACATTAAAGTTTACATTTTTGATGTTGAATGTATCTTATGCATTTATCTACCAGCAAAAATAAAAGCCATGAGAGAATTAGAACTAGAAAAGCAATTAGCTTTATATTATCTTTCATAACTCATATCCATCCCCTGCATCCAGTTCTCCCTCAGTTATTCTTAGTATTTCAAGAACATGTGGCCTACTTAGGAGTCTTTGGCCGTGAGGATATTAATATTGGTCTGCTGGCATTAAATGACCAAACACAGGCTTTAAGATGCCAGAGTGGCAATTCTGGGTCCTGTCCCTTCATTATTATTGTTGTTGTTGTTATTATTATTATTATTAAGCTCAGAGCCCAATGAAAGCAGAATTGATTTATCTACTGTGAGCTTGAGCCATATCGGTTGCAGCAGACTGGGGTGGGGGTGGGGAGCCTAGTTTACAGCCCTGTGAACCACACGGAGCCTTATGTACTGAGAAGGAGCCTAGGTCTGATTTGTCTTGGTGGGGGAAGCTATCATCTCAGCAAGTAGCCACTGAAGGCCTGGAATGGGCCCAGCCTCCCTCAGGTCTCAGGGTAGAACTAGAATCGACCAAAGCCCTGCTCCCCAAGAGCTCACTCGGCTCTGCTTGGGTCGGCACGTCATCGGTGCTGTGATGGATGGACGCTACGTGAGCGAGCCGACTCAGGGGCGACCCCACTGGAGGAACGAGCAGCCTTCCAGCCTAGGAGATGAAAGAGAAAGGGGTTCCAGGGAAGAATCCAGCACAGGCAACCCGGGTATTTTTGTTATTGCTTTCTCATTTCATCCATAATAACCGACAAATGAAAAATGTATATACTCAAGGTGAACAATGTGTTGTATGTACACATTATACACCGATGATCAGGAGTTAATGAACACCCCACCCCCACAGTTAACGCGTGTGCCGACCGTCTTTTGTTGTGGGGTGATAGTGCCGGGACTACAGGCAGCTCCCTGATGCAGGAGCCCAAGATGGAGCTAAATACAGCGTCAGGAATTGGCATGGGGGTGGGGAGACATATGCTGGGCAAGGGATTGTCTTCCCCACTTAAACAGTACGGAGGCCTGGTCCATAAACTGAAATACAATCGGCACTCCTCGGGCCTGTGCAGGGGCAACAGCTGGGAATAGTTTCCACTCGAGACCCCAGCAGGTGCAGTTCCCAGGGGCTGTGTTCTGGCAAGAGAGAGAGGAGAGGACCATGGGGCCCCAAGTCCCCTGCCCCAGGCCCACCTCTTGCAGCTGCTCTGAGCCATCAAACCCCCCTGGAAAGCCTCCTCCCTTGCGTCTCTGATAGTAAAACGACAGCCTGTTTTAAAAGCTAGACTCCCACAGAAGCTGACAATGCCTCGTGGCAAGAAACAAGGCTCTAACTGTAGAGGCTGCTTTTAAAGTCCGGCATTCCATGATAAAGGCTATTACTTAATCCTTCCAAGGACCTCTTAGAGGGCTTTCTTATCTCTACCTGAACACAGAAGGTTGGGTAACTTGTCCAAGGTCAGAGAGTCATTAAATGCAGAACAAAGAGTGGAAAACAGCACGTGCCCTTTGTACCTAAAAACTGGTATCTGGATTCCACAACCACCACAAACCATGAGGTGGACTTCAAAGGGGGAAGATCCACACAGCAAAACAGCTTGGCAGCCAAAGCTTTCTAACAATGTAGGTTTTTATCAACACTATCAGTATTAGTATGTATGGGCGCCTGCATGCTACACACACACACACAGGGAGAGAGGAGGTTGTTTATGGGGGTGCTGGGGACTGAAGGTCCATTGTCAGGTTTGGGTGGCAAGCACCCTTACCCACAGAGTCGTCTCAGCCCCTAAAACAATTATTTATTTTTCTCACTCTTTGTGCCCTAAACTGTTTAGTCTGTCTCGCTAATCCAGAATGGCACACACCTGCAAGACACAGTGTCCGGGCGCTTTTTCCGCCCCGCTGGCTTTACAAAAAATGTCAGAAAACACACCAAAAATGTAACTTATTTTTAAATATATTTATCTTAAAAACCAGCAAACAGCTGTTTCTTGTTCCAGCCCTTTCACACAAGCCTCAAATCACTATGAATGACTCCCACTGTCCTTGGAATTGCCCGAGTTAAAATTTATGTCTCTTTAAATTCATGCTTGACTGGACTCCGCGTTTTGCCTATCCTGTTGCCTCGGTCTCTTTCCCGCCCTCCTTCGCCTCACGTTCCTTAGCACAGCCCCACACCATCCATGTGTCCCACACTGGGTTTTTTTTCTCTCTTGAGACAGGGCCTCATTATGCAGCCCAGGCTGGCTTGGAATTCAGTCATCTTGCCTGAATCTCCCCAGTGCAGGGATTACACGTCTACAGCACATCTGGCTGAAAATGTAACATTTTGACAGCTAACCTTCTCTATTGTTCCCAGCTCTATCTCAGGATGTGACCTAATGACACAGGTGCCTCAGGTCCTGGGCAGGAACTACTCCATACAAAAGAGTAAGCACCCAACAGTGAAGTAAACTAACTCCTCAAATCACAAAGGCCATTATTTAATTGAAAGGATATATATATAATTTTTTGTTTGTTTGTTTTTTTGAGACAAGGTTTGTGTAGCCCTGGCTGTACTGTCACTCGCTCTGTAGACCAGGCTGGCCTCGTTTACCTGCCTCTGCCTCCTGAGAGCTGCGATTAAAGATGTGTATTAGCACCACCTGGCTCAAATTCCTAATTTTTTAAAAATTTATTTTTATATGTATGTTCTATCTACATATATACACCATGTGTGCCTGGTGCCTGCAGAAGTCAAAGAGGGCGCTGGATTGGTTACCTGGAACTGCAGTTAGGAATGGTTGGAAGGCACCATGTGAGTACTGGGAACCTAACCCAGGTCCTCTGCAAGAGCAAGTGCTCTCAACCATCTCTCCAGTCCCAATTCTGAACTTGGTTTGTTTTTCGAGACAGGGTTTCTCTGTGTAGCTTTGGAGCCTGTCCTGGAACTCACTCTGTAGACCAGGCTGGCCTCAAACTCAAAGAAACCTGCCTGCCTCCTGCCATTCAGCCCAATTCTTAATTTTAAAAAGAGTTAATCTGGGGGCTGGAGAGATGGCTCACTGGTTAAGAGCACTGACTGCTCTCCCAGAGGACCCTGGTTCAATTCCAGGCACCCACATGGTAGTTCACAACTGTCTGTAACTCCAGTCCTGGGGAATCTGACACTCACATGGACACACACGCAGGCACAGGTCAAAGCTGGTTATATCCCACTGTGTACGGCATCCTGTGTTTTTCACACAGAGAAATCCCGGGGGATCCAGCTTCCAGGTCCTGCAGACAGGTATGCAGGAATGGAATTACTAGCTCACAGGGCTAATTTAAAGTTTCCTCTTCTTACTGTCAGGTGCTCTAAACGCACAGGCTTGGTCTGCCTCTGCCCAGCCCAGAACTGCACACATTCAGAAGAGCAAAGTCCAGGCCTCTCTCTGCTGTGCTAAGAGCCACAGATCTTTTCAAGCAACTTAGTTTATTTCTAAATTTTCACATTCTCATCAGCAGGGCATAATGGTCCCGATTTCTCTATGCTCGACATCTATTTTAATAGTAGTGGTCCTACTGGGTGTGAGGTAGTATCTTGGTGTGACTGTATTTTCAACAGATTTTCTTACAGCTTTTGGTTCAGAGCAAAATTGAGAAAATGCAGCAACTTCTATATGAAGAATCAGCCCTTACACAGAGACACCCTGATACCTTCCCCTGAAGGCCCATTACGATCAATGAACCTCTGTGAGCACATGGTCCCCCAAAGTCCTCACTTACATTAGGGTTTACTCTTATTTCACATTTTCCCAATTTGGACAGATGGCTCATGACCCGTATCCACATCCAGTGTACCAGAGTGGCCTCATGACCTTAACACTGTAACCACCCTACCATGTGAACTTTACATATCTGTGTACCATGTATGTGCCTACTGCCTCTGGGGCCAGAAGAGGGTATGAGAGCCCCTGGAGCTGCCGTAAGAAGGTTCTGAGGCACCATGTGATGGAACCAATCCCAAGCCCCCTGCAGGAGCAGTAGCGAGCGCTCTTACCCACTGAGCCATCTCTGCAGCCTGCCACTTCAGCTTTACCTGTAGTCCCGGAACCCACAGAACCCAGGAACTCAGCCAGCCCTCTTCCAATGAGCCACACTGCCAGGTTCTAACTTACTGATACCACTTTTTTGAGGACACCCGTATCATACAATGGGAATCACGAATGTCACCTTTGAGATTTGGCCCTTCCGTTCAGGAATATCCCTCTGCATCTGCTGTGACTCATTTTTTTTTTAAGTACTAGATATTCCGTTGTATCATTTACCCTTTCATCTACTTTGTTGCTTCCAAGCTTTGACAATCACAAAGCTTGCCACTCACAGCCCTACTGGATTTGAGCCCACGTCTAATGCCCCTGGGGAAATATAAAGAGGCAAGATTGCCAAAAGACGCTGTATGTTTAGTTTTCTTAACTACTGATTGGCTGTCTTCCCAAGTGGCTGAGCCATCTTTTGTTCTCATGAACGATGCTGTCCTTGCCCCGCTCCATTCCACCTGCATGTGTTGTTTTGGCTTCTGGAGTCGCAGCAGTGCAGAGGACATCTCTCACACACATTGCCACGGCTGCTGTTTATTTCTGAGACAAGGTTTCACTATGTACTCCTGGTTAGCCTGGCACTTCCTGCACATGGCTTTCAGTTATCTTGTAATCAAATCAATTGTCTACTGTTTTATTTCTTATTCCATTTATTTTTCACAGTGTGTACAGTCCTGCATGGAGGTCACAGGACAACTTGCAGGATCAGCTGCTTCCTTCCACGCTGTGGTCCCAGGACAGTAGAAGAGTTTGTGTGGTTTTCATGTGTAGTTTCCCCACGATTAGGATATTTGCCCAAGCCTGTTGCTCTACGGCAGCCAATCACAACAAACGCTATTTTCAAGACGTTCTAAAAACAAACTTGATGTCTTTTAAAAAGCTCTCTCCACACTCAGGAAAGGCCCTCCCCTGTGTCAGCTTGAGGGGGCAGCTGGCTGTGTGCACAGCCCTCAAAGGCAAGCTTGCCTTCTAGAGCAGCCAGCTGCCAGACCAGAAGGGAAGCCAGGGTAAGGATAGATACACTGGTCCAGCTGTCAGAGGAAAAGGACAAGCTCGCCCCCTAGTGACAAGTAGAGACAATAGAAGGAAAAAATATTACAAAGGCACATGCAAACACAAAGACAAAAAAGAAAACTGCACAGCCACCATGATGAGTACATTCCATCCTGCCAGGATCTGGAGAACAGGAGCACAACAGATTAAAAAGTCAACTGAAATAGCTCATTCATCTGGACAGTTTAACAAGTTCAGTCCTGCCTGACACAGTGGGCTGAGGCAAGGCTGGGAGTTTTAAGGCCAGCATAGATAGCACAAAGGCCTGTTCAAAAAAGAAGCAGCCAGACAGTTAATCCCAGCACTTGGGAGGCAGAGGTAGGTGGATCTTTATGAGTTCAAGGTCAGCCTGGTCAACAAGGCAAGTACTGGGATAGCCAGGACTGTAACACAGAGAAATCCTGTCTCGAAACACTCTGCCCACACTCCCAAAAGGAAAAGGTTCTGTTCAGTGCACAGCTTTGTGCTGTTGTCAGATCCCAAGTGGCAGCTGCTTCAGGAGTCATCTGTCTTCCCATGAGGAGCAGAAGCAGCTGAGGAGGGTAATTTTGAACTACAAATGTCTTGTCTAGAGGAAGGGACGCTTAGGTTTTGTTTCCTAACCACCAGGCATACTATAACCACCTTCAACCTTCACTTGGCACACAGCTCCTGATCCGTGTAAATCTGCTGAAAGGCCTGACTGGAAAGGCAAGAAGCCCACACCGTGGTTACATAAGGTAGAGGGCGGCAGTCGTGACTGCGGCTGTTCTTAGCTCCTCAGGACCTCTGTTATGCAAATTAGGACACTTTCTAATTTTCAAGCTCTTCTGACTGATTCTTTGAGGCCTGTGGCTGCTAAATTTCCCAGCTTCTCTTTGTTTCCCCAACCCCAAAAGGCTCCTCAGTTTGCCCCTATTTTTCAGAGGTCCAGTTTAGAAATTAAGGCTCCCATAACACAGGTGTCTTCGCAGAATACCCACAAAGGATTATTTACTAAAACACACACTTCCAGCCCCTCCCAGCAGGTGACACTCTGGAGCAGATGGCACTGACTGACATAAGGGCTCATCCGGTTTCATAGCAGAGGTGTCAGTGTCAAGCTGTCCCTTGCTTGGAAGGGAGGGTGGGCCACACATTACCCAAACGTTAAAGGTTGGACGTTTTTCTGTTGTTCTTTGTGGAGCTGCTGGGCCCTATTTTTCAGCATTTCGGCCTTGGCCTCGTCCTTATCAACACCATCCCCCAGTTTATACATGCGGCTGGCATTGGCGCAGGCCCAGATGTGGCCCAGGTCACAGGCCTTCATTGAATATTTACACGCCAGAGCCATGTCCTTGGGAAAGCCAGGGGCACCCTGTAGAAACATGGCGCTGAGGTTGAAGCAGCTGGCTGCATAGCCGCCATCACAGGCTCTAGTGTAGTAGTCCCTGGCCTTCCCCAGGTCAGGCTGGCCGTCCTCGTTGACCTGTCCATCGTGTGCCAGGAGCCCAACATTGTGACAGGACTCCACAGACTTCTTCCCTGGCTTCTCACAGGCCTTCAGAAAGCAGGCAGACGCAGCCTTTAGGTCCTGACTCAGGCCACCTACAGACACAGAAAACAAAGGAAAGGTACGCTCAAGGGCTGGGCAGAGAGCTCAGTGGTAGAGCTCTTGCCTAACAATATCAGAGGGCCTGGGTTCAATCCCCAGTACCTCTACCACCCCAAAACCAGGGCTGAACCTATTTGTGTCTGGCCAAGGTTAAAGAACCATCCCTGAGTCAAGCCCTGTGAGCTAAAGTAAGATGGAGGAAGGGAGCCCTGGACTCTTTGGTTCACATGATCTCTTATGAGGAAGCCAAGCCAGGAAGAGACAAGTCAGCTTAGAGCACCAGAGACTACCATGTGAGGCTACGGTGAGAACACTGCATTTTAAAATAAGCAACTGAATGTTTCTTAATCTAAATATACAGTTGGCCTCCATATTTATGAGCTCTGCATATGCAGATCCCATCAGTTATGAACACGATTACAGCATTCAACCCAGACACCAGCTGCAAATTTATCCGACCACGGACTGAAAATATTCAGGGAAAAAACATGTCTGTGCTAAAAATGTATGGACTTTCCCTGTCATTCCCAGCACAGTACATGGGGCAACTATTACAGTAGTGTTTACACTGTATTAGGTAGCACAGCTAGAAATGATTTGAAGGGAAGGAAGGATGTGTGGGTGTTTATGCCAATTCTCTGTGTGCAAGATTTGGAGTACCTAAAGGAAGACTCTGATCCTACAAAGCTCCTGGAAATAATCTCCCAGGGCAGAAAAACAACAACAACAACAACAACAACAAAAAGCTAAAGCTAAGGTGTGTGTGGCTTAACACCTTTAATCCCAGCACTTGGGAGGCAGAGGCAGGGGGATCTCTGTGAGTTCCAAGACAGTCAGAGCTACCTAATAGAGAGACCCTATTACAAACAAAACAAAACAAACTAAAAAAAAAGACAGGAATGACTTGGAGCTGGGAATGGTGATATATGCCTATAATGCTATATTACCCTAGCACTGAGGAAGTAGAGGCAGGAGAATCCAAAGTTTGAGATCACCTAAGCTACATAATAAAGTTGTTTCAAAAAAAAAAGTTGCAATCAACCTTTTCTTATTTATTCACAGTATGGCGGTATGAAAGCAAATGCCCCTCAAAGGGAGTGACACTATTAGGAGGTGTGGCCTTGTTGGACAAAGTGTGTCACTGTGGAGGCTGACTTTATATATATGCTCAAGTCACACCCAGGGAGACCACTTCCTGTTGCCTGCACAAGATGAAGAACTCTCGGCGACCTCTCCAGCACCATGACTGCCTGCACGCAGCCATGTCCCATGATGATAATGGACTGGACCTCTGAGTTGTAAGCCACCTAATTAAATGTTTTCCTTTATAATAGTTGCTGTGGTCATGGTGTCCCTTCACAGTCACAGGGACTGCGGTATTGCTGTGATAGGCTGGACCACGTTTCTATTTGGAGTAATAAGGACTTCGTGAGTGTGGGTTAGCAAAGCATTAAGTGTTGCTAATGGGCCATACTAGTAGGAGCAGGGGAGACAGTGGTGCTGGGAGTTATCTGAACCATCGGGTCCTGGCTCAAGAGGTTTCAAAGAAAAAGAATATTAATATGTAGCCTAGAGATAGTTCTTGTGATATTTTGGTGAAGATTTTGCCTGCTTTTTGACCCTGTCTGAAGAATCTGCCTGAGACAAAAGTGACAAGGTTAGGATTAATTCCGATGGCAGAGGAAATCTTGAAAAAGCCTAGTATTGTTATTGTATGGTTATTACTGGTCACTCTTATAAAGGTTTATAATGAGAAGGAACAGGCTGAGCATGGAAAAATATTTGAGAAAAGGAACATCACAAAGTGGAATGAGTTGGGCAGTGGTTGCGCATGCCTTTAATCCCAGCACTTGGGAGGCAGAGGCAGGAGGATCTCTGTGAGTTTCGAGGCCAGACTGGTACCAGGACAGGTCGGCTCCAAAGCTACACAGAGAAACCTTTTCCTGAAAAAAAAAAAAAAAGAAAGAAAAGAAAAAGTGGAAGGAATTTCTCTGGCCAAGAAGATAAACGGATTAAGAAATGGAATAAAGGGAGTGGTGACCTCCGAACAAGATCCCACCTAGCTAAATTTCCAACTTGTGAAAAGGATTAAAGAGAAGCTTAGAGCTGTATGTAGTGATGCAGGCCTTTAATCCCAGCTCTGAGAAAAGAGAAGCTGGAAGATCTCTGAAGCCATCCTAGTCTACAGATCCAGTTTCAGGACAGCCAACTTAGGCCGTGGAAGAAATGATCAAAACCAGAAAGTTGATGAAGATGTAACTGAATGAGCCATGTTCCAGCCCCAGCAGAACTTGGCAACTTGAGACACATGATTCTGGCTTTAGAGTTAAAGACAGAAGAAAGGGGCTATGGAATTCGCCTCTGTGTCTAAGGGAAGCCGCTGAGACCAGACATGTGTCAAGGGGGTCCCTGAATGAAGGCCTAGAGAGGGCGTTTTGTGAAGCTGTCAAGTTGAAGCTTGGATTGCATTGGAGACCCCAGGATACTGGAGATGCCAAAGCCATGGGATACCTGCCAAAAAAAGCTGCTAACAGGGAGTAGAACCAGTCCAAGAGGAAGAAGGGTACAGCAGTCAACAAAATTGAAAGGACCGGAGATCTGAAGAGTATTTTGACATGGAGATGCAGAGTTTGGAGTTTGCCCAGCAGGTTTTCAGTCTTTTCTGGTCTAATATTTCCTCACTATGCTTCCTTCCCTATGTTTTGGAATGGTAATGTATAACCTGTGCCATTATATGTTGGAAGTATGTGACCTGCTTTTTGATTCTGACTTACAGGGGATTACAGTTAAGAGACTGCACGAATGTCGGAAGAGACTTTGAACTTTCTTTCTTTTTTTTTTTTGCTTTTTCGAGACAGGGTTTCTCTGTGGCTTTGGAGCCTACCCTGGAACTAGCTCTGTAGACCAGATTGGTCTCGAACTCACAGAGATCCGCCTGCCTCTGCCTCCCGAGTGCTGGGATTAAAGGCGTGCGCCACCATCGCCCGGCGACTTTGAACTTTCTAAACTTATTTTCTGAGGGCAGGTGAGCGCCTGCATGTATATATGTGTATCACATGCATGCCAGGTACCTGCAGAGGCCAGAAGAGGCATCAAACCCCTAGAATTGGAGTTATGGATAGTTGTAACTGCCATGTGGGTGCTGGGAAAGAAATGCAGGTCTCCTAGGAGAACAGCCAGTTGAATCACTGAGTCATTGCTCCAATCCTTTTTGGATTCTCTGTTGGGTTACTTACCCTGAAGAAAGCTAAAGGTAGATCATTAGGAGACTTGAGCACAGCAGGAGGGCATAGAGAGCTCACAGTCACTGGGATCAGAGTCCCCAGACAGCAGCTGACCAAGCCAAGGCCTTTGCAGTCAGGCCAGGGAGTAAGTCAGCATCTAAAGGGCAACTTCAATCCACTGCAGTACTACTTCCCTTGCCAGTGTTTTGACCAAGGCACCCAGCTAAACCAACCCCAAATTCCTATAGAATTTGCCATAGAAACAAAGAGGGAACCTTGGTATCTGGCAAAAACTTAGCATTACTTAAGATCTAATGCCAACTGGGGCGTGAGAAGAAATATAAGGGCACAATTACTCAGTTCTTATTCTGTGCTCAGCACATCCTGACAGCTTTACTGTATTTTATTTTTAAATCTTATTTAGAGTATTCTGCTTGTGCATATGCGTATGCACCGTGAGTGCACCTAGTGCTTGAGGTCAGAAGTTGAAGTCCCTGGAACTGGAGTTACAAATGGTTGTGAACCTGGGTCCTCTGCAAGAACAAGTGCTTAACAGCTGAGCCACCTCTACAGCCCACATACTAATATCTTTACCTGAATTGCCCGGAGTAACTCCATTTTGTCCTAGATTATCTAATGACACCCCGAGCGCCACATCCTGCCAAGCAGAATGTTCTCCTGCGGCTTCCGGAGGGCCATTGTCTTACAACATCAAACAAACTGTTCTAACAAACTAACCTCCTCAGACAGGCACACAGACATCCCACCCCACCCTCCCATGCCTCTGACGTGATGTGATTGTGTTTTGGATGTTAGAACCCCACCATGCTTCAATTTAGGTGGAGTTCTTTCTGGTATGAGCTTGTTCTCAGTCAGTAGCAAATAAAGGATTCTTCATTGGCCTTGTATTCTCAGTGGTCTGTAATCTGCTCAAGTGTGTGTTTCATACTGACACTCTCTATCTTTCACAATAAAACTATGGAGCAAGAACTATTTCATTTCTTTTTCTTTTGAATTCTGAGGCAGGATCTCAATCTGTAACCCAACTACATTAAGTCCAGGCTCTGTAAACCCCAGTTTACAGGTGCTAAAACTGGAACACAGAGTTAAAAGTGACTAGCTAAGGCTGGGATGGTTGTCATGCCTAATTGTCAGGGGTCATGCAAGGGAACCAACAGGCAGCATGGAAGGAACCCATGGAACAATGGCTGGGCGGGCAGCAAAGCCATGTCCGAGTGAGCCTTCAAGCGGGAGAGCCGCAGGGACTACATGTCCTATTGAGCACAGCTCTGCTCACTGCCCATCATAATCTATGGGTTACATGAAAACTCTCCGGGGTTTCTAGCCCCTCACTGGGCAGTGTTACTGGTACTTAAAATAACAGTGATTGACTTTTTCCAAGCACTGCTGCTGGAACAGATTGACGACTCAACCACCATTCTGAGAAAGACTCTAGACATATGAATTGCTGGTAATATTAAGTTAAGATGTTTTTGTTAATGGCTTTGAGATAGAAAATCTTGGGGGACAATTTATAAAGTTTAGAAAGACACACTTTAAATAGTTGAATAAGGGACTCACTGATGTCAAGGAACAAAAACAATTGCAGCCTGGCCACTGCTGGCTGATGTATCTTTCTTGCAACAATAGCCTGATGATCAAAGACAATGATTAATTACTTGTAACCATTTCTGCTCTCAACTTCCTGATAGGATTTAATAAAAAACACTGTTGATGAGTGGTTATGCACCCTAAGGACTTAAAGCAGAAATGACTGATTGTTTTTCATATGTGGAAGTTTAGATTTGTGATTCTTTTCAGATTTTTATAAGATTACCTTTTGAGATAATTAAATAACTGATTTTTTTTATTTTTGTTTTTTGGTAACTGCAAAATGCAGCCTGCTGGTAAAAGAATTAGCTAAGTAAGGTACTGTTGGGAATATTATTTTAAGGTGTGTTACTTTTGTTTATGTTGCATTTGTTTAACTCCATGAAGCTGTGATACTTTTTCTGTCTAGGAAACCTAATATTCAAATAAAGATCTGAATGGCTAATAGCAAGGCAGGAGAAAGGATAGGCGGGGCTGGCAGGCATAGAGAATACAGAAGGAGAACACTGGGAGAAGGGATTTGGAGTAGTAGCCCAAGAAGAAGAAGGACTTCAGGGGTCAGGCACCCAGCTACACAGCAATCCACAGAGTAAGATTTAAGCTTGGTGGTGGTGGTGGTGGCACACACCTTTAATCCCAGCACTTGAGAGGCAGAGGCAAGTGGATCTCTGTGAGTTCAGGGCCAGCCTGGTCTATAAGAGCTAGTTCCAGGACAGCCAGGGCTGTTACACAAAGAAACACTGTCTGGGGGGGGGGGTAAGATTTAAAGAAATAAGTGAATAGTAGAAACACAGAGGCCAAAGGGTAGATGGGATAATATAAGTTAAGAAACGCAGGCAAGAAACCAGCCAAGCTAAGGCCGGATGTTTATAATTAAGACGCTGTGTGTGATCCACTTTGGAGCTGGGTGGTGGGCCCCTAAAAGAGTTCAAATAGCATAACATCATATTACTACAAAGTATCTTGCTTATTCACACTTTGTGAGTCTATAACAAGTTGCTTGAGCCGGGCGGTGGTGGCGCACGCCTTTAATCCCAGCACTCGGGAGGCAGAGGCAGGCGGATCTCTGTGAGTTCGAGACCAGCCTGGTCTACAAGAGCTAGTTCCAGGAGAGGCTCCAAAACCACAGAGAAACCCTGTCTCGAAAAACCAAAAAAAAAAAAACAAAAAAACAAAAAAAAACAAGTTGCTTGGATATGAATGTATGTGGGTTCTTAGAGATAATTTGTTTCACCTGTAATATATAAGATGTTTACATAAGGGAAATGGAAAACATGATGTCTTTTATTTGTATTCATTGTAATCATTCTCTTAAAAATAGAATATAACCATACTGTAATTTTTATATTGCTTGAAAGATTTTTTGGGGGTATATACATGCTGTAAGGGAAAAAATAAAGAGACACAGAAGGGAAACATCAGGGTAGAAGGACAGAAAAAGAATAGAGTAGAACAAGCAACAGAAAGAATAATAAAAGGAAGAACTAATCTTTGGTCCGCAGAAAAGTCCTCAAGTGTCTGTTTGTCTGTCCAGCAGTTTGCCTGCTCTGCATTTCCTCTTCAGTTTCTCTGACCTGCTGAGGGCCTGCTATTTATCAGCACCCTAGTGAGATGCTGACATGTTGGAGGGAGGGTGTGTGTGTGTGTGTGTGTGTGAGAGAGAGAGAGAGAGAGAGGGGAGAGAGTGTGTGTGTTTCCAGTTCTCATTGGCCCCAGAGAATTAAGTTTTACTCCTTCAGATAGAAAGGTCAATTGAGTGATTAGTCCCACTGACTCCATGGCTCCCCTTCAATTCCTGAGCTACCAAAGGCTGGTCCTTCCAACAGCACCTAATCTGTAATTTCTCATTCAGGAAGCAGAGGCAGGAGGTTCCTGAAAATTCCAGGCCAGCTTGGACTACAAATTGAATTCTAGGCCAGTGTCTTAGGGTTTCTTTTTTTTTTTTTATTTTATTTATTATGTATACAATATTCTTCCTGTGTGTATGCCTGCAGGCCAGAAGAAGGCATCAGACCCCATTACAGATGGTTGTGAGCCACCATGTGGTTGCTGGGAATTGAACTCAGGACCTTTGGAAGAGCAGGCAATGCTCTTAACCTCTGAGCCATCTCCCCAGTCCCTGTCTTAGGGTTTCTATTGCTATGATTAAATACCATGACCAAAAACAAGTTGGGGAGGAAAGGATTCATCTGGCTTATTCTTCCATATCCATAATCCCACCCTTGGCTTTCTTTTTTCTTTTTCCTTTACTTTTTTGAGACAGGGTTTCTCCGTGTAACAGTCCTGGCTATGCTGGAACTCATTTTGTATACCATAGCCTGCTTTCTTATAGAACCCAAGACCATTACCTGCTCAGGGGTGGTCTCATACACAATGGGCTTAGCCTTCCCCCATCAATCACTAATTAGGCAAATGTCCTACATGCTGAGTGGTGGTGGCAACTTAACTTTAACCCCAGCACTTGGGAGGCAGGGGCAGGCAGATCTCTGTGAGTTCAAGGCCAGCCTGGTCTACAGAGCAAGTTCCAGGACAGGCTCCAAAGCTACACAGAGAAACTGTCTCAAAAAACCAAAACTCAATCAATCAAACAAACAAAAGCTAAAAACAAACAAACAAAAAAACCCAAAACAAAAAGAAAGAAAAAGAAATGTCCTACAGGTAGCCCTACAGCCTGATCTTATGCAGGCATTTTCTCAATTGAGATTTCCTTTCAGAGACCCTAGCCAGGGCAGCCAACAAAACTAGAGTAAAATCCTATCCTAAATAATGAGCTAGACCTGGTAGCTCATGCCTTTAATCCCAGCACTCAGAAGGCAGAGGCAGGCAGATCTCTGTGAGTGTGAGGCCAGCCTGGTTTACAGAGTGAGTTCCAGGACAGACAGGGCTGTAGAGAGACCCTGTCTAAAAATATTTTAATCATGAGCCAGAGACATGACTTGCTGCTGCCAACTCTGATGACCTGGGTTTGATTCCCAGAACCTACATGGTGGAATTGGAGAACCAACTTCTGTCAGTTGTCCTCTAATCTCCACATGTAGGACATGGTACATACCTGCCCCACACCAAAATAAATAAGTAAATGTAATTTTAAAAACTTCTTTAAGAAAAAGAAGAAAATTGGCTCAAGGTCCCACAATGTGCAAACAGTAACCTCAAAGGCTGCTTCACTTAAAGGGCCACTCTCTCCCACCACCTGCCTGTACTCTGTGAGGCATGTGGAGACGGCATCTTACCTTTTCCAGTCACATAATAGGCCCCCAGTTTATAGCAGCTGTCACTGTGCCCATTGTCCTCACAATTGAACTTCAGCACCTTGGCAGCTTCATCAAAATTCTTCTGGATCCCCTCCAGATAGTCCACCAGCCGATAGCAACCTAGGAGAGGGAAGAGTTGTTCATGCCAGCTGCTGCTGTTCAGTGGGTACAGGTAGAGCCAGATAGAGCCTAGCTCTTACTCAAATGGCTGTGTGCCGCTAGGCTGTGTGTAGCTAGGCTGTGTGCAGTTAGGCTGTGTGCCGCTAGGCTGTGTGTAGCTAGACGGCACAGCACTTGTTAGAGCGTGGGAGGCCCTCTGTTCAATCTCTAGCTCCGCAATAAAAATAACACAAGTAAGCTACAAAGGAGGGAACGGGCTAGGATTCGCTTTGCCTTTGTAAAAACATTACACAGAGGCACATGTTTGCACCTGCCTGGATGACTACAGGATGACGGGACATTCTGACACCGAAAATCATAACACATGTTATCTTTGTTTGTTTAATTCTATTTATTTCCTTGAGACAAGGTCTTATATAGCTTAGACTGGACCAGAACTCACTACGTCGCTGAGGCTGTCCGTCCCTCTGACCCTCCCTGCCTCCACTTCCTAGAGTGCCAGGATCACACCCAGGCGAGGCATGTGCTACCACACCCAGTTTAAACCAGGAACTGAACTTGGGGTGAACACGAGCACCCACATCCCCAGGCCTCAGCCCGTTCTCCACTCACAGCTCTGTATAGTCTCCACATAACACACACCAACTACCATGAACCCCTCAAACATCTCTACAGGATCAAGTTCCTGCCTTAGAAGGATGGACACACTGCAACCCAGGCTCCCTGTACAAACTTCATTCTGGAACCAGAGGCAGAGCACAGTGGTGAAAGAGTTGCCTAATACACGCAGAAGCCCTGGGTTTGAGTCTCAAGACTGCACCACAAGAATTAATTTGACTTAATTCTGACAGATCCTGACTTCGACCTTCCAAAAGAGAACTCTGTTTTCCCACCTTGCCTCCACTGACTACAAAATATATAAAACACTAGGAAAACAACTCTGCTTCTCTGGGCGTCAATCAATCCTACACTCAACCACCTCACTCACTACACAAAAGACGCCAGTTCTGTCTCAGATTTTTTTTTTTTTTTGGTTTTTCGAGACAGGGTTTCTCTGTGGTTTTGGAGCCTGTGCTGGAACTAGCTCTTGTAGACCAGGCTGGTCTCGAACTCACAGAGATCTGCCTGCCTCTGCCTCCCGAGTGCTGGGATTAAAGGCGTGCGCCACTACCGCCCAGCTGTCTCAGATCTTTTTTTTTTTTTTTTTTTTTTTTGGTTTTTCGAGACAGGGTTTCTCTGTGGCTTTGGATCCTGTCCTGGAACTAGCTCTGTAGACCAGGCTGGTCTCGAACTCACAGAGATCCACCTGCCTCTGCCTCCCGAGTGCTGGGATTAAAGGCGTGCGCCACCATCGCCTGGCTTCAGATCTTTTCATTAGCTATTACCTCTGCCTGGGAAAGACCTACAATGGTTTGTCCCCTTCTTTATAAGTTTATTCAAAAGCCATTCCATTGTGCAGTACCAGTTCTTTTATCCTAACCTGATTCGCATTTACTATTATCACATATTTCACTTATTTCCTTTGCGTGTTCACCATTGCAGCTCCGGTCCTTCCTCCCTAAACCCGCTGAGGGCTCCGCCCCTCCGCAGAAGCCCCGCCCCTGATACACCCCAAGTCCCCGCCCAAAGCTTGCTAGTGTCCCTTGACCGCGTCCTCAGGCGTCCTCCACCTGCCACGTGACCTCGTCCTAGCCAAACGCTCGCGCCCCTTCTCGGCACCCCAGCTGCGCGGGAGACGCTCACCATCCGGGTCCTTCTCGCGGTAGCACTGGTAGTGACACTCAAGCTTCATGTTCTCCAGGAAAGACTTCACCTGCTCCTCGTCTTGGAAGTCAACCAAGCCCGCCATGGCTCCGAATCCCACGAACCCGGACGTGGTCCCGCCCCCAAATCACGTGAGCTGCTCATTGGGCGGGGCTTGCCGCCTCGCGAGTGAGGTCAGCGCTCTGCGGGTCTCCGGATACAGACGCTCCCAACAGCCTTTGCGGTGAGGGCGGCTTTCTTCCCCATTTCTTCGTCTTTGTTGAAGGCTCGCTCCCGGTAGTCTACCTCCGCTTAAGTGAGGTAATTCTGCCCCATAGTGGTTTTCTCCCTGCAGTCGGGATCAGCCAGCCCTCCTGCAGTCCCAGTTCTAAAGCCGAGACAGCCGGGAGCTCCGATCCCTGTCTTCCCAGAGCTTGCAGCGTTGGGCTGGAGCTCACCGCCAAGTGCTCCCAGCCCTGCAAAATACAGAACTTGAGATTCATCAGGAAAGCTTTTGCGTATTCAGGCAGCATGCGTTTTGAGTAACTTGTGTGTCCAACATATGGCTGGAACACCTGACGAAAATAAGTCTCTGCTAGTGCCACGGGATGCATTTATCTCAATATTCTTTCTTGACCCATCAAGGTCACCACCATTAATGACGTGAGATGTGAAGGTGACCGCGAGTGATGGTAGTGACGTTGGTGATATCTGGTGCCGAGTGCTGAGTATTGAATCCGGCTTCAGAGTTTAACTTTTTTCCAAAGAGAAAGAACGAAGAGCTAGGGCTGGAGAGATGGCTCGGTGCTTAAGAGCACTGACTGCTCTTCCAGAGGACCCAGGTTCAATTCCCAGCATACACATGGCAGGCAGCTCACAACTACCTATAAATCCAGTTCCAGGGCGATCTGACACTTTCACACCAGTGCACATAGAGTAAAGTGAAATAAATCATAAAAAGTTAAAAAAAAAAGAATGAAGAGCTAGAGAGATGGCTCAGAGGTTAAAAACTCTGACAACACTCACAGAAGAGGGCACCAGATCTCATTGCAAATGTTTGTGAGCCACCGTGTGTCCTCTTCTGGAATGCAGGCAGAACGCTATATAAATAAATAAATAAATAAATAAATAAATAAATAAATAGTTATTTTTTAAAAATGTATTTAAACTGGGCAGTGATGGTGCACGCCTCTAATCCCAGTACTCAGGAGACAGAGGCAGGCGAATCTCCGAGTTCGAGGCCAGCCTGGTATAGAGTGAGTTCCAGGACAGCCAGGGATACACAGAGAAACCTTGTCTCGAAAAACCAAAAGAGATGGAGAGAGAGAGAGAGAAAGAATGAAGATTTAGCTTGGTAGCAGAGGGCATCCCTAGCATGTGCAGGAGTCCTAGGTTCGATCCCCAGCACCACGCAAAAGGAGAAGCGTGTCAAGGTGGGGCAAGGGGCTTCACCTGGATTTTTTTGTTTTGCTTTTTATTTTGAGTCTAAGTAAAATTTTTACAAACTACCCAAAAACAGTTCCTCCCTCCACCCACTAGGTCTAGGGCTTTTCTGTGGAACACAGTCCATGTTTTCCCAGTATCCGATATAGCGTGGCCTCACCACTAACTCATTTTAATGACAGATGGGGAGCGACTTACTTCAGCTAGTAAACGTCTTTGGAAATTCCCGATTTACTTATTTATTTATTTGGTTGGTTGGCTTTGGTTTTTTGAGGCAGGGTTTCTCTGTGTAGCAGCTCTGGCTGTCCTGGAACTCACATTGTAGACCAGACTAGCTTTGAACTCACAGAGTTCTGCCCATCTCTGCCTCCGACGTGCTGGGATTAAAGGTGTACGCCACCATTTTCCTTGGCATAGAATCTCACCGTGTAGTTCAGGACTACCTTTAACTTGAGAAGATCCTCTTGCATCAACCTACAGAGTACTATTACAGGTATAAGATACCACATCCAGCTACCCACATTCTTTTTTGTATCCCTGACCACCAGAGGGAACCCTCAGGAAACATGCCCCTGGAAGGGAAGGCCCGACCTTTGGTTTTGAGACTTCCTCCTTAGCCTGACCTTCAAGGCCCTGTGAAATCTTATCCTCTCAGTAAAGTTTGACATATATAACGACTACACCAACCCAAAATAGATCTAGAAACTTCTTCCTCAATGTTCCATATTACTTGATATATTCTGTATAATATGTTATGAAAGGACTAGTTTTGGAGGGTAGACAGATCTTAGCTGAGAATCACTATCCCACCCTGAGAGTGGAGCTCAGCGTTATAACTCCTGCCAATCTGCTTGAGATCCTAGGTTCAATCCCGGGGTGGGGGGAGGGGGGGAGTCAGTGAGATGGTGTGGCTCAAACTCCCCTCCTCCCACAAATAAACAAATATAAAAAAGTCCTTATCCTGTCCAAAAGCTAGGTGTAGCAGCTAGAGGATCAGGAGTTCAAAGTCATCCTGTTTTTTCTTCAGAGTCATCCTTGACTATATACTAAGTTGAGGTCAACCTGAGCTATGTAGTGAGACACCGTCTCAAAAAAACAGAAACAGAACAAACAAAACCAGTGTGTGGAGGGAAGTAAGACTTCCTGTGGTGATATTTTGTTTGTGCTATAGCAAATAAAGCTTGCCTAAGAGTGAGAGTGTGGCCATAGAGGCCAGGCAGTGGTGGCTCACACCTTTAATCCCAACACTAGGGAGATGGAGGCAGGAAGGGATATGGCTGGGCAGAGAGGAATAAAAGGCTGGAGGAGACAGGAACTCAAGGCAATCAGTCTGAGAACTTGTAGAGACAGGATCCCCGTTCAATCTGAGGATTCTTAGAGACAGGATTTTGCCCTGTTGGTTCTGAGGATTTCGTAGAGGTAAGAACTAGTGACCGGCTGCTCTGCTTCTCTGATCCTTCAGCTTTTGCCCCCTACTATCTGACTCCGGGTTTTTATTATTAAGACCAATTAGAATTCGCACTACACATTTGCCTGGCATGGTCAAGGTCCTGGGCTGGTTCACCAATACTATGAGAAAATAAAATAATAGAGCAGGGTTCAGCGAGGATGCTACACATAATTAAAGTCAAGCCTGGCCACAAGTACTCCTTCTCAGTCATTAAACTGTGCAGTGAGACCAACTGAGCAGTAGAGGGCAGTAAAGGGTTGGCAGAAATAGAGGCACCACCAGGACAAGCACAAAGTCACTTAATCATACTTTTTTGTTGTTTTGTTTTTGTTTTTGAGACAGGGTTTCACTGTGTAGCCCTGGATGTCTCAGAACTACTCTATAGATCAAGCTGGCCTGGAACGCACAGAGATCCACCCGCCTCTGCCTCCCCAGTGCTGGGATCTAAAGCGTGCTTCAAATTTTAAAAAGAAATGTAAGATCTTCAAAAAACAAAACAAAACAAAAAAAAAAAAAACGGTATGCTGCTGCTTTATTATTATTATTATTTTTAGTCCTTTCATTATCTCTGTAGGATTATTTCCCTCGGTTCTCTAGTGCTGAGATCACAGCCAGGGCTTCACATGCTAGGCATGTTTTCTTCCTCTGAGGCATACCCAGATCCTCTGTATTCTTCCAAATGCTTGTGTTTACTTTGTAAATGTATCAGTTGCCCAATGAATACATTGATCTGTGTTTATCACAAATTAATCTCTTATTTTTCACCTAATAGCCCTTTTCTGTAAGTGTGATTTGTAGCTAGCAGGCATGTTTCCAACTGTTGCAGATAAAGTGAAGCCATTTTCTGGAAAACAGTGTTAAGGAACTTCCCCCCACCCCACCCCCAGACAGGGTTTCTCTGTTTAAAAGTTCTGGCTGTCCTTAATCTCACTTGGTAGACCAGGTTTGTCTCTAACTCACTGAGATCCGCCTGCCTCTGCTGGAATTAAAGGCGTGCACCACCATCGCCTAGCCACTGTTTTTTTTTTCTTATGGTGACTATTAGTGATCTTTGGATAGTAGTTAATAATATGAAACTGCTTCATTTAGTATTTATTGTACTTTAAAACAGCCTTTAAGTTGGGCAGTATTGGCATGTGCCTTTAACTCCTGCACTTGTGGGGCAGAAGCAGGTGGATCTCTGTGAGTTTGAGGCCAACCTGGTCTACAAATCAAGTTCCAGGACAGCCAGAACTACAGAGAGAAACTCTGTCTCAAAAGCAAAACAAAACAGAACAAAAACCTAAAAACTAAAAAAAAATCAATTTAAAACAGCCTTTAATATGCTTCTAGTACATTGATTCTCAAAACTTTTTATTTAAAACTCTAAAAGATAATTTTTTTTCAAATACCAAATTCAGTTAAATTTTTTTCAGCAATAACACCAAATGATTTTCGTTTTCCTTATATGGATAGACTTCTCCGTGCTGGCAGGAAGAAAGTCATCACCCTTGCTGGCATCAGCAAAGTGGTCCAAAGAATGTAGGCTCTGAATAGTGGACATTCAATATGACTCCTTTTCCTGGGTGGAAATGGCCAGCAGAAGATGGCTGTGGGTGTTGGGGAAGAGTGTGGGGACGTGAAAGGACTCTAGGGGGAGGCAGCTGAGTACCCGAAGGTGGGCCAGTGACTCTTTTTTTAAATCGCATCCATTTATATGTGTGTGTGTGTGTGTGTGTGTGTGTGTGTGTGTGAGGCCAGAGAACTTTGGGTAATGTTCTCAAGTATCAACTGAAGTATTTTTGTTGTTGTTTTGTTTTTACATTTAAAAAATTAATTTTGTGTTGATGAATGTTTGGCTCCTCTGTATTTGCACCGGGTGCATGACCGGTGCCTACAGAGGCCAGACAAGATTGTTGGATCTACTAGAACTGGAGTTACAGGCAGTAGTGTGCTGCCATGTGGGTTACCACTGAATCCGGGACCTGTGCAAGAGCCAGGAGTCCCCGCCCTGTCCCCACTGTCGTCTTTTGTGGTAGGGCCTATGTGTATAGTCCAGGTGGCCTCCAATTGTTGTGTGTTTGTTTTTGAGACAGGGTCTCAATGCATAATATCAGCTGGCCTGGAACTCACAGAGATCCTCCTGCCGCCACCCTCTCCCCAACTGCAGGACACGGTTCCATCACACCTTCCACCTGCTTGTACATGTTATTAATCTAGAGGCAACACAATCCTTGAACTCCTGATCCTCCTGCCTCCACCTCCATCTCCCCAGTATTAGAGTCAAAGGCTGTTTGCCGCCACACCCAGTCTAATAGTTCTAAATAGGCATTCAGTCAAATAAAGGTCACACA